CCAAAAGAGATTTCAAAACCGTTTCTTATGAAGAGGTGTTTCTTCAAGAGAAGTTTCCCCAAGAGAGGTTGCACTGTATTACTTAATATTATTTAATATACTGTAAATTCGATAAATAAGTCTTTTATTTAAATAAACGCATATTTAATTAAAAATCAATTAATTACAACTTATTGTGACTTATTTAAAAATAACCAAATGCTCCTATGCACTTGGTAATTTTCTATTAATATTATACCATGCTTACTATATTATACTAATTTGTGGTGTAAGAGTATTATTATAGATTTCCATTAAACCAAACAGTTTGACATTCAAACAATGCTCATTAATCTGATTTTGCATAATATCTATGCATTCAATGCATTGATACTAATTTATATTCAAGTGTTACAAATTATAATTAAAAAATGTGTTCAAAAAATGAAACTTTGTTTTACAAAAAATTTTGTAATGAATTTATCAAAACAAAAAGTGCTTTCATTGAAAACCAGAGCCAGAGATATAGCCAACAATTATATGGAAAATAACAGGTATTTAAGAAAACATATATTAAAAGTAGACAAACAAATGAAATATTCATTTGTCACTCTATCCGACACTTTGGATGATATAATTACCGGTGATTACACGCGGAGTAGATTTATATGTTTTATAATTGTTAAAGTGAACATGTACGTTTGCCTTGTCTTCTACATGATAAGCATATATATTAATCACCCATTTATCAATTTCATCGTGGGCAATACTTTTGATTCCTTTGGTGACAGGCGGCTAATTAGCACTGAATTTATTGTAGTAGTGATTGGCGTTATATGTATGGAGACGTGTACTCTATATCAGGAGAGAACCGGTGTTTTACATATGTCTAAATTCATGCACTCATTGCTATACAAACGACTCAAATATCCATTGAGTGGTCGGAAGGAAGAGAGGATGAGTTTGAAAGCAAATGTTGTCATACAAGTGATGTCTATACTATTTGTTTTGATTGTAATTATTGGTGTTATAGTATTTTTCATTCTCTTAGCGATTATAATTCCCAATCCGTTTACAATTACTAGAACTATAGTTTGGTTCAGTTTTACCATTACGTTATTTTTCACACACATTAATTGTTTTGGTGGCGTTTGGTTAGCAGTAATTATTTTATTTACGATCACTTTATATCTTAAATACAAATACCAAGAAATTCACGAAACAATCTCATGGAGTGTTAAGTATGGAAATAACAGGCGATTATTGCGTGCAATCGATGAGCACCAGTATTACGAGGTATGGGTCAGGCGTTTGAATCGTTACTTCAAATTTATTATATTTTTCTGTTATTATATTGTATCGATTGGACTTGAATTATGTATTTATTCATTTTACCACAAAAATAGTACACTTTTGTTTCAGATATTTATAATTTTCATTGTATTTATTGATTTAACAACTTTCCTATTATTTTTCATATGGTTTTCATCAATTCCGAGAGCGGCTCACAAACCATATGCACAGTTAGTATCATATCTAAGCCGAGCGCCAGTCCTCTCACCGACCGATCGGTTAAAAGTGATGGCATTTATCGAGAGATTGTCTTCAGAGCCGAAGATTGCTTTCTATTGTTTGGATTTGTTTCCAATGACTTCACTTGAATTCTCGCAATTCCTGTATATTTGTGTCTCAAATTACATGTCGTTAATTACAATGTTTTAGTTAACAACTACTAGAAAATTAATCAATCAAGCTGTGATACTTGTTGTCAAAACAAACTATTGACAACATAACAAAAAAGATTTTAAAAAGTAATTCTTTAAACTATAATACTTTAATTTCACATTTGCTTATTATTTAACAATACTTTTGATTATACGTTTGGCAATAATATATACTGTATTTAAATAAAATATTGCATTTAAATTATCATTTCATATATCAATCCGTTATTAAGCAAAACAAACATAACATTTATATAATATTTGAATATATTATTTGATTATCTGATAAAGACTTCAATAAGTATTTATGTATCGATTGAGAGCTATATTGAGAAAATGCGGGCAAAGGTTTGTATAAAACACACGTTTGTTGTATACATCTAATTGTCATTTACTGCCCAAACAGTGCCCCAATACTGGCGCCCATAGCTGTGATCTCTGGCCACTGTTGGCGCCGACGAAACGGTGACCAAAATGAGACAAACGAGTGGACAAACACACGATTATGGCCGGAGTTCGCACTGAGAAACGCCCGTTTGAACGGTACGGAAGTTCGGGACCACTTCGACGACTGGAAGCAATCGGTGATTATAACCATAATTGACAGGCAATATGTGTGCGGTTTTATAGTGAATAGCGGAGAGTATGTCGTGATGTCGGCGCTCGTCATCCAAGGTATGGGTTCCGTCAAGTTTGGTCTGTCGGCGCCCCGACTCACGAGCGAACTGTTTGTGGCCAAACCCAACGCACCGCAGCATACGGTCGATCTCGAGGGTCAGGTGATATACGTGGACGAGTCGGTCGGTCTGGCGCTCATCAAAGTGCACGACATAATCCCCGGAGCCCTTCACGCGCTGCCTCTGGCCGACCAGACCCGTGCCGGTCAACACGTGGTTGTGTTGGGCGCTCTGTGCGGCAAAACTGGCTGTAGTTTTATTACCGGGACTATCAGATCGCTAGACGGGCCGCCAGTCACTGGCCATCGCAGTGTACTCGATCCGGACCGTCAGTACTTCGGCCATAATATCACATCTGTGGTCAACTTTAGCGGCGGTCCAGTGCTCGATATGAGTGGCCGAGTGGTGGGCGTTATGATGAGAGACGAATACATCTTACCGGTTAAGGACTTACGCGGTAAGAGTCGGAGGGGTGGGGGAGGGTAGGGATGTCATGGGTAACACATTGGGTAAATGTTTTACCTAAAACCAATGGGGTTTTTGTTTGTACAATATTATTTATCAGTTATATTGACTATTGTTTGGCAGAGTTTATCCAAAGAGGTCTGGATTATCAACCGCTGGCCCGCAAAAAGGACTACTCATTTGAGGGCAAGTGTCGGTTGGGAGTGGCGTTGAGCTGCGATGATAAGGGTTACCACGTGTTGATGTTAATCGACAATCCGATTGACAATCCCATCGATAATACCCGGTACGTATAGATTATGATTTATATGATGTTTAAAATTGTTTTGTGTTTTGAGTTTTAATTGCTTAAAATTTTTACTGTAAAATAGTTTAGCACTAAAAGTTGGAGACCGCATAACACATATCAATGGCGTCCCTTTCCAGACATTATTTCAATTGACTGTTACTCTCAATAGGAGACCCGTGGGTCAGATCATTCACCTCACTGTTGATCGCGGGGGCCATGAAGTGCTTGTGTCGGTTGTCTCCAAACCTCTGGTCTGTGCTGTCGTTTAAAGCCATACTTTCATACAAACAATACTTTCAGATTAATAGCTAATGTTATGATTTATTATCTAAAACAATGCCTTAAATAAATTAAAAATGTATTTTCTCTCGTGATTTATGATTAGATGTTTAAATTTTCAATTAAATTCACAATTTATTAATTAATTGTGTTTTCAGTTATGTATTGCCAAAGAATGGGTTCTTTGTTTCGAGTATTGATTAATAGGTATTAAAATCTAAAGTGTTTTAAGCCGTGAATTGTTTGCAACAAATTGTTGTCTCATTTAATAGACATTCGGTTCGAGCATAAATTAATATTATTACCATTATTGTTTTGGGTTACAAACGCCGATTACTCCAATGAAAAGTACTTAGAAGTCGCTAAATCCCGGGACTTCACGGGGCGAGTAGTGTTGGCCACCGGGTCCTCAACGGGTATTGGGGCCGCTATTGTCAAACTGTTTACTGTTTACGGGGCGGATGTGGTCATCACTGGTCCCACTGAAGCTCAAGTCAAACAAACAGCTCAAGAAGTCCACAAACTATCACCAAAATCTAAGGTAAGCTACCTGGATTATAATCTAACATAGCATATGTTTTTACCATATTTACATAATAATTATGTTTAATTAAACCTACTGAATTTATCCTAATGTTGCCATGACCTAGCTGTATTTTTCATTAAATACTATATTCTGTATATGACACACAGACTCTGGAAGTGGTGGCAGATGTGAGCAAAAGTAGTGATTTAAAGCGTTTAATGAATGAGACGATCACCACATTTGGTAAACTCGATGTATTGGTGAACAGCGCGTCCATAATGCCGATGGCGAACATCACGACACCTAATCTGATGCACATCTGGGATCAAGTGTTTACTTATAATCTGCGGTCAGTGCTTGAGCTCACACAACTGGCTGTGCCTCATCTGGAAAAGACCAAGGGCAGTATTGTCGATATATCTAGCGTGACCAGCATGACTGCCGTGAGTATAATTAGCTTTAATATCAAGTTATATGTGTTTAGAAATTTATATACACATTAATAAACAGTAAACAAAATTAAAATGTAATCAATAATAAAATTAGTAATCATGTTTAAATATTTAAATAGATCAATTTAAAAGACGGGAAGAGACATAGGTTTCGACCTAATCTATACAACCGTTTTCATAACCGGGAACTTAACCCTGGTTTTCCGTAGGCGTAGTTATGGTAGTTCATGTTAAACTAATATAAATGTATCCTTACTTGAGTGGTAATTGAACATAATGTTTTATCAAAAAATTAATCACTATTTTGCTAATCATTTAACATTATGTTGTTCAAAAACACAAACAACTAATTTAAACATAATTTTTTTTATATTTTATATAAATATAGTGTGGGTAGTATACAGGTTAGCAATAAAGTGACCAGTATGCAAGAAAAAATCAAGCACGTGACACCATTGGGCCGATTGGGTGAGCCCCTGGACGTGGCCCGGGCCACAGTTTTCTTAGCCTCGAGCGACGCCCAGTTTATAACCGGCGCTAATCTCATAGTCGACGGCGGAGTTATACCTAATTTTGGCATTTTTAATATGAACTAGTACAAAATAATTTATGTCCAATCAAGGAAATGTAAAAAAATTAAACTTTAATTTTTCATAATTACAAATCTAATAAATATGTTGGACATAATTTCAATTACAAAATACTATTGGCCATTGAATCAGGCACATAATGTTTCGCTGTTTGATAAAAACAACTATTCAGTGCATTTACGAAATAAATGCAATGATTAGTAGAGCAACCAAAATTATGCTTTTATTATGCTTTTTATGCACTATTTGTATATATTAAAGTATACATTATGATTTGCATGCATAAAATGATGGAAAAGCTTTCTATTGTGACATCTGTCAGTACAGTCTTACCTCAGTATAACCTGTTGGGTGGTGGTAGTTCCTTATCCAATACCTATATGCAAATAAAGTTGGTAATAATTTGCACAATAAAATGATGGAAAATCTTTCTATTGTGACATCAGTCGGTACAGTCTTACCTTAGTATCACCTGTTGGGCGGTGGTAGTTCCTTATCCGATACCTATATGCGGGTAAAGTTGGCACAAATTGCACAATAGAATGGTAGAAAGGCTTTTTATTGTGACATCTGTCGGTACAGTCTTACCTCAGTATCACCTGTTGGGTGGTGGTAGTGCCTTATCCAATACCTATATGCGGGTAAAGTTGGCACACATTGCGCAATAAAATGGTGGAAAGACTTTCTATTGTGACATCTGTCAGTACAGTCTTACCTCAATATAACCTGTTGGGCGGTGGTAGTTCTTTATCCAATACCTATATGCGGGTAAAGTTGGCACATTGCGCAATAAAATGGTGGAAAGGCTTTTTATTGTGACATCTGTCGGTACAGTCTTACCTCAGTATCACCTGTTGGGCGGTGGTAGTGGCTTATTTGATACCTATATGCGGGTAAAGTTGGCACACATTGCGCAATAAAATGGTGGAAAGGCTTTCTATTGTGCCATCTGTCGGTACAGTCTTACCTCAGTATTACCTGTTGAATGGTGGTAGTGCCTTATCCGATAGCTATATGCGGGTAAAGTTGGCACACATTGCGCAATAAAATGGTAGAAAGGCTTTCTATTGTGACATCTGTCGGTACAGTCTTACCTCAGTATTACCTGTTGAATGGTGGTAGTGCCTTATCCGATACCTATATGCGAGTAAAGTTGGCACACATTGCGCAATAAAATGGTAGAAAGGCATTCTATTGTGACATCTGTCGATACAGTCTTACCTCAGTATCACCTGTTGGGTGGTGGTAGTGCCTTATCCGATACCAATATTCGAGTAAAGTTGGCACACATTGCACAATAAAATGGTAGAAAGGCTTTTTATTGTGACATCTGTCGGTACAGTCTTACCTCAGTTGCACCTGTTGGGTGGTGGTAGTGCCTTATCCGATACCTATATGCGGGTAAAGTTGGCACACATTGCGCAATAAAATGGTGGAAAGGCTTTCTATTGTGCCATCTGTCGGTACAGTCTTACCTCAGTATTACCTGTTGAATGGTGGTAGTGCCTTATCCAAGCCTTTCCACCATTTTATTGCGCAATAAAATGGTGGAAAGGCTTTCTATTGTGCCATCTGTCGGTACAGTCTTACCTCAGTATCACCTGTTGGGTGGTAGTAGTGCCTTATCCGATACCTATATGCGGGTAAAGTTGGCACACATTGCGCAATAAAATGGTACAAAGGCTTTCTATTGTGACATCTGTCGATACAGTCTTACCTCAGTTGCACCTGTTGGGCGGTGGTAGTTCCTTATCCGATACCTATATGCGGGTAAAGTTGGCACACATTGCGCAATAAAATGGTGGAAAGGCTTTTTATTGTGACATCTGTCGGTACAGTCTTACCTCAGTTGCACCTGTTGGGCGGTGGTAGTTCCTTATTCGATACCTATATGCGGGTTAAGTTGGCACACATTGCGCAATAAAATGGTGGAAAGGCTTTCTATTGTGCCATCTGTCGATACAGTCTTACCTCAGTATCACCTGTT